ACTGCGAAGTTCCTCTTTTGATGTTTAAAGGACTTGTTCTGGGGCGGCCAAATAAAAAAAGACCTTGGAGCCTGACAGAAGGAGTTTGCACTTTATGGCCTTATTTGATTTGGCATTTATTACTCTTGTACTTAAAGCAAAATGTTGATGTACAATTAGATTTTTGTGCTGGAGACTTTGTAAGCTTTAAAACTTTTCCTTTTCACAGTCTTTATCTGAGCATCATGGTTAGTGAACCATGAGCACTTAGCCAAAAAGTGATATTCTGTAGTGTATAGTGTTGAAATGTACATTTTTTTATATATAATATATATATATTTTTAAATATAATATAATATAATATAATATAATATAATATAATATAATATAAAATAATAAAATACAATACAATACACAGTCACCGGCTACTTTATTAGGTACAACTGTTCAACTACTCGTTAACACAAATATTGAATCAGCCAATCACATGGCAGGAACTCAATGCATTTAGGAAATATGCTGAAGTTCAAACCGAGCTTCAGAATGGGAAAGAAATGTGATTTAAGTGACTTTGAACATGGCATGGCTGTTGGTGCCAGACGGACTGGACTGAGTATTTCAGAAACTGCTGATCAACTGGGATTTTCACTCACAACTATCTCTAGAGATTACAGAGAATGGTCTGAAAAAGAGAAAATATCCAGTGAGTGGCACTTCTGTGGGTGAAAATGCCCTGTTGATGCCAGAATTCAGAGGAGAATGGCCAGACTGGACCAAGCTGATAGGCAACAGTAACTCAAATAATCACTCATTTCAACCGAGTTGCAGATGAGCATCTCTGAATGCAGTTTCGAAAGCAAAAGGGGGTCCAACCCACTGCTAGCAAGGTATACCTAATAAAGTGGCCTGTGAGTGTTTATATATACACACACTCACACACCCGCACAAAAATGTGTTGTCAGCACTGCTCTGATGATTTTCAAAATAGTTTAGCAACTTAAAAGCTACTTGTCATTTCTCAGTAACAAGGTAATAATGGCGTTCTTGAAGCAGATGAACTTAGTTTCACTATAAGTAGAGACGCTGCTGCCGAACTCGCACAGACTCCAGTAACTCACACACATTTAATCTCTCTCTCTCTCTCATAACTTCATTGGTTATAACTGCATTAGTCTGCTATTAACAGCTCAAGCCTCTATTACAGGTCTAAAATTACGTTTTTGAATTAGCAATGGAGGTGTGGGATGAGATGTGTAAGAAATTAATCCTACACAAGGACAAAAGCCTGACGAATGTTTTGAAATGCATCATCTGAACAATATTAGAGGTGTGGCAACTGTAGTATAAGTGGAATAATTGACTCCGGGCCATTGAATTATTAGAAAATAACTCCTCTTCGCGTCATGGCCGCATCACCACCTCGGATGTGCATTATTTTCTAATAATTCAGTGGACCGTCATCAGTTATTCCTTACTTATTATACAAATTATTTTTTTTAACAAATGCCACTAATTACTACATGTTAATTCATTATTATTATTATTATTATTATTATTATTGAGTAATATTTGACTTAATTCATAAATAATGTTTTTTTGCAGTTGTAACACATGACATTTTACAACCTCAACAGAGCACATCATTAAAAGTTAAAAAGGACAAATCTGATATTTTTAATAGACTTGTTGACCTAGACAGAGTCTTGAGGGTCTTGCAAACTATTATTTTCCTTCTGCTGACACAACACAGTAATAAATCGAACAGCGAAACATCTAATTTATTTATTTATTTATTTTACTTCAGGAATTGTTCCAATCTACCACATTACTATATGCTCAGCATTTTCAGAAAGGCAGCGGACACTGTAAAAAACACCTTGACAAACTCTCCTTACATTGACTTCAGTGGTTAGATTATGTGGTCTTGACAAACAAAGTGGTTTCTGTTTTCTTTTTGTGAACTTGTCTCAGCTTTCTTCTAGTGCCGACTAAAACACAAAACTAAGGACTGCCTGCCAAGATTTCTACAAAGATGCCAGTGAAAACTCAGAATGGAGAAAAGTCTAAGAAATTGCTATGGCAAGAGCTGCTGATGTCTTTTCAATCAAAATATTTAATTTCAACACACAAGAAAATAACTAAATATACATGAGATTCCTGTTTCTACATTTCATGTGAAGTAAACCTTTGTTTTTGTGCCCAGCATCAAGCAGCACCTGCTTAAGATAGCAAAAGCAGGTTTGGAAGCATTAAAAATGATGCAGTGGCATGTTGTTGTTGTTTTTTTCTCTTTCCCCTGTAGGCGCTGCTCTTTGTTCCCTTTCGATACTTCACTCGTACTGCGTCTGCTAGACGCATATGGGAAAAAAGCCTTTTTCTCCTGAACAGAAGCCTATTTCATTCACGCAGTGAAACTGCACGGCCATTGGTTCGTGCAGGGCTTTAAAAACTAACCAATGGCGCGGCAGTGGAGCTGCACGAGCCTATGGCGACGAAGCCCGCCAAAGCCCGCCAGAATGGGCGGGGCATCTGGCTATA